CAGTGACCCACCTCCTCTGACCAGGCCCGACTCCTGAAAGCACTTTCAGCTATTAACTCATTAATAGATTAATCTACTGATGAGTAAAGCATCCACATGACCCAGTCACCTTCCAAAACCTCACTTCTGAACACATGAGACTTTTGGGGACACTTTAGGTCTAAACTATAACAATGGCTGAAGAACCCTGAGCAGTAAGTCAGGAGCCATTTGGAAGGAGACACAGATTTAAGCATGTAGTGAATATTATAATCATATAGTGGGAATTAAAATGATAAAAATGGGTTTTAGTAATATGAAAATTGATGGGGTGGAGGCAAAATTGTTCATAGAGAATTTCTAGTTTCAAGACTCTTCATTTTGCAGTTACAGAGAGATTTCCAATCACGAACTACAAAAACCAATACCCAGTAGTCTTCTTTCTATTATCCACCATGTTCACAGCTATTGTCTCTTTTCTTTTCTTATACTGTCCCTGTGGGAGAGGTTGAGATAAATTATTATCCCTCCATTACAGGTGAAGGACTTAAACTTAGAGAGATTAAATGATATGCCCAAGCCTCTAAAGTTAACAAGGCCAAAGCAAGGTGAGGACCTGTGTTTCCTGCTTTCCTCCCACAAGGCGCATCTCCTGTTGCTAGCTCTTCTACCAAACCTCTCTAGGTCTGCACATCTTTGGCAACTTCATAAACAACCTTGAAGTCTTTGTAAAGCCAGCCAGCCTGCAAATGGGCCTGTTTCCATCTCAAATTTATTCATCTTCAGAGTGCTGTCCAGCCACTGCACCCCACTAATCCCCACATTTGATAACTTCTACCACACTTAGAATCAGCACCACACCACGGGGCACATGATCATTCATTCTCTGGGATGATTTGCTCCTTGCTTGCCAATTACAAGATGAGTTTTCTCCCTTTAAGCTGCACCCCTTACATCGCTGGTGTCTACAATCTCTCGATGCAAGCGGGGCAGGGTCAGATCCCTAATATAACTTGCTGAGTGATGTGTTGATCACTGCAGCATATAAGGGCTGACAAGATGATTGCTTGAGGGCTTCACTGGTTGTTCCAGTTCATCTCAGTCCATTTTATTTTCTAAACAGTAGTTATCCTTAACTGTTGTGCTATTTATTTTTTATACATTTACAAAGTGTAAATTTTGGGAGGAGAAGATCCTTCTTCCCTCTAGAGAGCCTAGAACATAGAGTAAGTATTCAGTAAATATTTGTCTAACCAGTGCTCTACTTGGTATGGTCACCAACCCATTTGCATGGGAATCTCTTAAGAGATTCTGTTAAAGCCAGATTTGGTTGCAGCCCATCTGTAATTCCAGCACTGGAGTGAGACCTTGTCTCAAAATTAAAAATTAAAAAGGGCTGGGCATGTGGCTTAGTAGTAGAGTGCCCCTGGGTTTAATGCCCAGTACCACAAAGAAAAAAACCTTCTTTAAAGTGGAAGTCTTTGGGCCTCATCTTAAAACCACTGAATTAGAATTTCTGGAGGTGGGCCCAGGACTGATCATGGTAATTCTGATATACACTGAAGTTGAGAAGTGACACTCATGTTACAGAGAAGAGTGAGTCTTGGAGATAGAAAGGAACTTGCTCAATGTTGCCCAATAGGATAGTAGAATTCAGATTTCAAATTCTCAGTCCAGACATCTATTATACCAGGCTGCCTATTCTATACATTCTGAGAAGAATTCAACCTCTAGTGTTTATGAAGTCACTTGACTTTCAAAACTACCCAGCGCTATAGGTCTTATTTTAATTTTAATTTTAAAGACTAGAATGAGAACACTGAATGGCACTATGATTATGATCACCCAGCCTCCTGAAGACAGAGAGCTTTGTCCTGTTTCTTGAAATTTCAAATCCTTTGCTCTTGGCACGGCATGCCCTTCCTTTCAGTGATGTAATTTTTTAAAAGATTAAAGTCAATTAAAAAGTTTAGGTGGGCAAGCTGTATATAATACTCAAATTTTGTACAAAAAAAGGGAATAGATATGTTCAGTTGGGTGCATCATAATCTGAAAGATCATCATAAATGGAAAATATTATAAATTGAAATGCATTTAATACACCTAACCTAAACATCATAGTTTGGCCTCACTTAACTTAAATATGCTTAGAACATTCAAAAACTAGCATACTGTTGGGCAAAATCATGTCACATAATCCCTATTTTACAATAAAGTGATGAATGTTTCTTGAAATTTATTGCATACTGTGCCAAAAGAGAAAAACAGAATGGTGGCAGGGTCTGCTTGTACATTTTTATAATGTCCAGCAATAATTAATTCAAACCAGCATAAATTGGGAACTGCCTATACATAATTCAAAAGATTTAGACTCCAGAGTATTCTTTGCTGGTTGCCAATCAGTTATCTTGGGGGAAATCTTCCCCCTCATTTGGAAAAAGGAGCAGTGTAGAAGGCAGAGGAGGTGAGCCAATCCCAGTGCCCAGAAGGAGGATCCCTGGCCGCCATTCCACTGCTCCCAGGGCAGAAGAGGTGAGCCACGCGGGCGCCAGCAACACCCTGCCTCCTGCCACGTGGAAATGAGAAGACATGTAAACAAGCCTCAAAAACAGACTTCCAGATCACCTACAGCAACCTCAAAGGGAAATGAGATGGAACAATCTGATACTCAACCACCTGGACTCCCTGAACTGGCAACAAAAGAGGATCTGGAAAAATTG